TTTACAGGGAAAAGGATTTTGGAGTCTCTGGCCAGGAGGGATTTTATAGTACTGTACACAGGACAGCTATTACCCTTCCCTTTATAGTTATGACCATTACAAAGGGCTGTGGCAAGGTCCAGTTAATTCCCTCTCAGGGTACATCTACACAGCAAAAACAGGCCTGTGGCAGCAAGTTTCAGCACTCAGGTTGACTGACTCAGGCTCATGGAGCTGCACTTCAGGGCTAAAAACAGCAAATGTTTGGACTTGGGCCAGAGCCCAGCCTGTGAAACCTGGTGAGGGAGGAGAGTCTCAGAGCCCAGGCTCTAGCCTGTGCCAGAATATCTACACTGCTATTTTGTCCCCCACAGTGCCAGCCCTGTGAGCCCGAGTCAGTTACCCTGGGCTCTAAGGCTAGGTCTATACTACCCGCCTGAATCGGCGGGTATAAATCAATTGCTCAGGGATCGAATTATCGCGTCTCGTCGGGACGCGACAATCGATCCCCGAATCGACGCTCTTACTCCACCAGCGGAGGTGGGAGTAAGCGCTGTCGACGGGGAGCCGCGGAGGTCGATTTTGCCGCCGTCCTCACAGCGGGGTAAGTTGGCTCCGATAGGTTGAATTCAGCTACGCTATTCGCGTAGCTGAATTTGCGTATCTTAAATCGACCCCCCCCTCCTGTAGTGAAGACCTGCCCTAAGACTCACTGTCCTTTTTTTGCTGTGTAGATGTACCCTTGGACCACCTCACAGGTGTATCTGGTGGAGTAAAATGGCAGGGCTAAATTCAACTCAGGCTCTGGGCAAATACAGAAGCACAGCAGTTTGAGAGACAAAAGAGGTTATAGAGAGTTGTACCTCAAGGTAGGGTGTCTTTCTCCATCATGCTCTCCTTCACCTGCTTTCCCACCTCCCCCTTCTCTCTCACTCCTCAGTTTTCCCCTTCTCTCCCTTTAATCACTCGTTCTTATGGACTGTGGCACCTTTCTGTTTGCTACTGGCCTTTGGCTCACAGTCAAGCTCTAGGCACTAAAGTGCTCTTCTTGGCTCTCAAGCTAGGAGCAGAAGGCATTTCAGCTTCCCAAGGGAGGGGCACTGCTGAAGCATGACAAGGAGGAGCAGAGAGATTGGGGTCTACTAGTTGTTGGTATGCAGGGACGGCTCCAGGCACCAGCGTAGCAAGCAGGTGCTTGGGGCGGCAATTCGTCCGGTATCGGGGTGGGACATCCGGGTCTTCAGCAGAAATTTGGCAGCGGGTCCCCCATTCCCTCTCTTCCTCTTTGAGCTGCCGCCGAAGAGGAAGAGAGGGAGGACCAGCTCCCGAACTGCCGCAGAAGCAGCGGCGCAGTTGAGCTGCTGCCGAAATGCTGTCACTTTTTTTTTATTTTATTTTATTTTTGGCCGCTTGGGGCGGCAGAAAAGCTGGAGCCGGCCCTGCTGGTCAGGGAGTGGCAGTGAAGCATACTGCTTTGCTTTCAGCATTTTAATGCCTCTAAAACCTGATGGAGTTCTACAGCAGGGATTCAGCTTATGAACTTCATGCTATGTATAATAATTTTCCTTTATGACTTCCTAGTATTTTGCATAACAATCTTTCTTGTTGAAATACAGTAAAATGCAGTGATCATGCATAATTCATAGTGAAGTGTAACGTTCCAGATGGATTTACCCCTCTCAAAATTGCATTACATCTCTGTCTAGTTGCATATTGGCGTTCTACTGTGGATTAAACTAGTAAAGCAATACTGGGACATTCATTTTCATTATAACGTGAGATCCCAAGATACTCCATTTCCTTGAGTTCATTGAACAACTTGAGTGTTTTTTACATTAAGCAAATGTTCTGAGAATGATGATAGAATCATATGCCTGTGCTCTGATTGCAGTGATACAGTATATTGCATGATAGGCTAGCTGCTCTTTCAGAGAAATATGACTCTTGATTGATTTGACCTTATCCAGAAGATGGAAAAAGTCATAATTTTCAAATATCTATTACATTCCATTGTTGCTATTGCTGTGGCATTTTTAAACCTGTTATGGATGTACCTGGGTAAATCAGAGACTGAGTAGCTGGCCCACTTTAACCAAAATTGTCTGTCCTGATACTTGTGACTCCTGGCAGTGGATTTTGCACATTTAGAGTGTCCTGATACTTGTGACTC